GGACGTCAACTAAATATGTCATTTTGAGTAAGGGACGGGTTCCAGATTACCGAGAAAGAGGGAAGAGGGTAGGGTTTGTTTTGTGAAGAAATTGTCATAGATCTCACTTCAAAGGGAATTCTAGCTCAGATTTTAATGGACCTACTTGAGTTGTTGGATGTAGATTCCAATACCACACGTATTGGCTCTATTCTTGTTGTACATTGATATATGGTATTCAGCTTACTCCTCCCTTCAGAAAATGGATAATGATTCTGTAGGCATCGGGAGTGTTGATGCTGAATTTTAACTGGTCAGAAAAGATTGCAGACACAAATCGCCATTTTCAACTTTAACTATAGCGAAAGCCTCAACCACGCACAAAATTGAGGAGGAGGTTTAATCAATAGAATCATTAGGTCATCTACACGATTAGATTGTGCCCAGAAGCGTCGACCAATCCGTAGTATTATTGTCTGAGTTTGAGGTTTGGGAGAAAGAACTGTGAATCGGTTTGAAGATCAAATATACTTTTTATGTACTTTATTGCCCGGTGCTTGAGGTGAGGTAGGATTAGATGAGTCAGAATATTCCTTTATTATTATCCTGCTATAGTCCTATTCATTATTGGAGAAGAGTTCGTTATGTTCTATCAAGTTTAATCGAGCTGACCGGCTTGCTTGAGCACTACCAGTTGTTATTGTTTATAGATTATTCGATTAACCATTTTAATGGTATTGAAAATACTGTGCTAACGGTTTATCGTTTTAAGACAACAGAGCCAGAAAACTGGGAAGGCAGGATAACTCGACGGTGAGCAGGTATATATATGTATAAACAATGGGTCAGCGCGGCGACCTCACGAAGACGACGAGGCGTGAAGTATATCGTACCATGCCGGTTGTTGAATATAAGTATAATTTATAATCTGAACGACAACAATGTAAAGTTAGTAAAACTTCAAAGGGTAATTAAAATGTGTAAACAGTCGTATAATTTAATAATGGAGCATTCTTTATGCAAAGAGTCTGATGTTTAAGATAGCTAACAAAAGCATGTAGTAACGATGATACGGCGTGCGGTATCGAATGACTGCTATCGCAGAACTGCATTTTCTATATTCATCTTCCATTATTGTTTAACTGAAAGCTTTAACCCTCACCTGTCAAAATCCACAACAAACTCACTGCAAGATGCATTTGTTTTCCTTGATTGTTTTAGGTTAGCTTAACTTATTTTGGGGTTTCACTAATCATTGTTTATGCAAACAAGTCGAAACTCATCTGAACCTAAGTCCTTAGAAAAATTCAATGAGTATTAGTGAATCCACGTGCACCAGAAAATTTGATTAGTACTGCATAGCAGAGTCACTGTGTGCTGAGCGAAAGAGGAGATCCAGCACAATATCATGTTTCACACGTAAACCAACTCTAGTGAACCACATATATTATTCTTAATGCATTTATTGTTCTTATTAAACACCTCATTTTTCGCGGAGGAAAGTTACACAAGTCCTCTAGCGACTACGATCATTACTTGTTGAATTGTACAAATACTAGTCCTGCTTTAGTCCCTGAAGTAGTATTTATACAGATCTTCATATAATTTGTACCTAAGATAAGCACGCTAAAGTATGTAAACCTAATGGTTATAATGTTATCTTACCACAAAAATTAGCAAACAAGTTGGTTAATAGGTCTACCACTAATTTATGACCACAGATTCATCAATTTTATTTTACAATCTCGAATACCCTTAATATATAACAATTGACTAAAGTCAAAGGTATACTACATTGATCTTATTCCTGGCTGTACAATATTCATATGGGATAAGGATACACAGGTAGTGTGCTCTACTAAGAGTGTCCAAACTTCAAGCTAATATAATATTTATTCCAATAATTTGTATTAAATTAAAACCATTGATTAAATTATTTACTTTCATTTTTTAATAATTAAAATTATTTATACAATTTTAAATTAGTAAACATGCAACAATGTCTTTTAAAAATGTATACCAATTTTGTAGAGCGAAAGTCAACCTCCTTATCATCGTAACTCTAAACAATGATCTGATGAGGAGGTGTGTTGAAATTTTTGTCGGTCCAAATTTTAAAGTTCACACTATTGTATGTATCGATCAATATCTATTTTATCATGGTAACATTGTATCTGATAATGATCAATACCTAAAGCATTATAGTTCAATCAAAATATAGTTCAATACTACCACAGCTATAAACTATACGCCATACTTAAACCCGTATGTGTATTCATACATCCATCATCTTGATACCTACTAAATAGTATTTATTTTTCCATGATTACTATGCGATCAAGACAATCACTAGTAGGACGAATAAACTAGTTTTATCCCATGTAACTGTCATCGTTTAATTTGGTCACGCCAGTCCAACACAGATAGTAGATTAGTAAGTAGAGAAATATGTAAGTATACCTAGGTATTGAGTCATTATACCTCACTGGGTAGTGTACTGTCTTCAGATTATATATGATTTTATATCACCTGAGCATTGTGTATGTTTGTATGGTTTCAAAGAGCGTGACGTCAGAATAGACTCTCCGCAATCCAGCCAGCTCAGCTAATGCAGTAATGCGCCAAAACTTATATCATTGTTTATGTTTACTCAACTATTTTTAACATTGTTTCCGTCTACTTGTCGACTTATTGCAAAGAAGAATAAAACAATTAATTTGAACGTTAAAGTAAGTAATTGTACAATATTAGAATATTAGTTGTTACAAATTACAATGTACTGTAGAAGTTTAAATAATAACCTATAATCTATCTTTGAAGTTATTACTACATTTATACTATTTACATATCTATGTAAACTGTAAAGAATTGCATATATAATTTATGGATCAATCTTGTTTAAATATGTGTTACTATTATATTTGCACATTAAGTACAGCACCTGAATTGATACCTATATAAATTATTGGGTATCAAATGTTAACAATAATAAATTAATGATAATTATAATATTAATTAGATGCCAGGAACTAGATGTGCCATATGTTTGCTCAAATAGTTTACAGGAACAAAAATTTAACATATTCATCATACATTTCAAAAGATCAAAACTATGCCATGTTTGGATTAATGCTCCGCCGAAAAAGATAAGGGAATCATAACCAGCAATTTGTAGTGTACATTTTAAACGATTGAAGTTGATTTTGAGAAGCCAATTAACAAACATCAAATAAAAAGAAAATAAAACAAATGGTATCACCATTTATTATAATATTTTATTTCACTATTAACCTAATTTAATTTTTGTTTAGCTATTCCAACACAACATTTAAAAGAGAAATATTTACTAAATGTGTTAACTAATACATTATCATCTGACAAGTATCAAAATATGCGGAAAATGCAACTATTGTTCAAAGTTTAATGTTACTAACCTAAGAGAATAAAGATATAGC